GAAGCTATATAATGCCTTGATCATTTACTTGACTTTTATTTTTCGTAGCAATGACAGTTAAAACTCCAAGATTGTCATTTTGATGGGCGATTTCGCTTTCATGGGATGACTGTAGCTCCACCCAAGTTTTACGCCTTCTTATCTTTGGGAGCTTTTTTAACTACTGACCTCGCTTAGCTTTTTTATCAAAACATACGTTTTTTATTAAATCCTAAGTTTTGTGTTCATTGATATACCGTTAAGACAAACATCCTACTTACTACGCATAAGTAGGGCTTGCTAAGTTTCAGCATCCCAACTTCCTGATTTGTCAGCATGACTTTTGAACATTACTACAGTGCATTATGACAGTTATTGCTGCGGCTTGGACACACACTTTTCAAAAACATCTACACATGTTCCAAGACCCCAGTGTCCTTGGGCCTTTTGGGTTCAGTGGTCAGGACGCCAGACGCATGTCAGGCGCATTTAGTTGCTGCCAATTTAGTTATGCAAATCCTCCGGAATCCCACCAAACTAACTTTCGGTGTTGGCCTTTCCTACAGACAGTGTCTGGGACTGATTTCAATCGCACGCTTTTGAAAAACCATGTAGCAAAATTACTTCGTCCTCTTCTTCCCCGTCGGCTGTAAAACCACCGTTTATGGAAGTGACTTTAGTTTTTGAAACTCGAACAGTTTACGGATGACTAATTAAGTAAGCAGACAGTCAACAGGGCACAACCTTTAACTTCATTTCCACAATCTTCGCATTTTAGTCTTTTCTAAAGTAAGGAAAACTTTACGTCAAAAAGGGTTTTTATGATGACAAATCCATTTATGTAAGTGACTTTAGAAGGCAGTTGTTTAGCTAATACTATAGATTACAATAAAAGCACTTACATTGTCCTTTTTTCGTGGAGGTACTATCTGAAAATAGTAAAAGACTGGATAAGTGGTAGATAGTGGTCTCCTGTTTAATTGCCTTCTGTTGGGGGATCACAACGTGGAGTCTGGTGGGCCTCTTATAAAGTTGTAAGTACTAGTTCCCCTTTTCCGGCTGCATAGAGCTTGTCGCTTGAAAAGGGTGCAAAAAAGTCATTCTTAATGGGAGATAAGAGTCATAAATGCTCCCTCTTTCCTTTCCCAAAGATATGCTTAGCTCGGTGGACATTTACTTCGCTCACCTTCTTTACCCGGTCCATTGCATCTTGCAAAAAGTTCAGCACAGGTCCCTAAAGAGCAACAACATTAAGGAATGTGCTTTTCTCAGAGTCAAAGCTACCGATAAGATAAACTGCACCCTAGTGGAGGCTGGGTTGAGTAATTTGGGGATTACACAATCGAACTTACCCTGTAGGCTCTGCGTTCTTCCTCCTCCTTGAGAAAGAGGAGCATAACCTCAATATTGTTCCAAAAATATTTTTCATAAAATAATAGTGATTAAGATACTGTTCAGTTTTCTGCCAGCTGTACGAAAAAAATCCTTCATAATCATTAAAGGACTCCTATCTACCTTCCATTCATCTGCCGTCCTACTTTTTCCTTTTATGTGCATCGAAAATGAAAATGTTTGCGTTCACAGGAGCTCCCAAAATGTCAACTTTTGCCATGCATAATTTACGATGCAAAACACATTGGCCGCCTAATTCTCGTGTCAAAAGGTGAACCGGTCCTCCGTTGCGAGTAGCTATGGTTGTTGGTCAATAGTCTAGCCAATCATTCATCTTAATCTCAACAGAAAACATAAACCTTTTTTTTTAGGGTCAGAAACGAGTACGATAATGGAATAGCGGAAAGGTGGACAATCAGCGGTTCTGATAAAAATGGATTGGAAAATAAGTTGTTAAAAGCATGCACTTTACCCACTGCTCCTCCGAGATAGGTGGATCAACCATCCTCACACCTTTGAATTTGCTCTATAGACTTGAAGTACCAAAGTGTTTTCTGTTTGACAAATCATTCCGCCATTCACGCGACCTCAGGCATCAGATGTCCGGTAGAGCTGAGTTGCGTGATACCACATGCGCCAAAGCCCGCATTTAGCGTCTCTCTTTCTCTCCCGCTCTCTTCTCAACCGAGGCAGGCATCATCCAACTTTATTGGCGCCTGTTGATCACTCCCCCTGTTATCTGGGCTGTTGTTAAGGCCAACTTTAATTACTACCACCATAGCAACGCTTAACTCGTTTCACAATGTGGAGTACACTTTGTTAGATGGAAGGATTACACGAGGAATTGAAAGACATTTTGTGCAATTATTTCTACGGTCAATTACATAGCGAACACCGTTGTTGTGCATTAATTTGGATTGGTAGTTTATTCCATAACCACCCTAACTAAAGGTCTGTGATGTATGCGGTCCTCTCCTATAGCGGTTTAATTCTCTTTTAACAGCATATCGCTGGTAATTACTTTAGTTACCAGAAGTACACATTCCACCCCTTCTAATTTACATGAACATTAGTTCACCTCTTCTGTCAGCCAACTCCTATCAATCATTTAGTAGGTCATTCACTGCATTAGCGTTTATAAATAACATGGTAACCTGATATTCAAATGCGTTTATTTCTTCCGACATAAACGTAAATTACACCACGTTGGTAGTGAAGCGAATTTGTGCTGTGGTGAATGAAGTCCTTTCAAGTGGAGGTGCCACATCCATCGTGAACTTTGAGTGGGTGAGGCGGCACAATGTTGGCACTACTTAAAGGTGAAACGGGGCACATGGAATGATACAACAAAAAAAAAATAAAATAAAATCAAACACTTTATTTGGGATACAAGGTCGTAGTTTGAGGGTGCGCGAGAAATGGAAAATAACCAAAGTAGAACACTGGCGCGCACGAAAGGTAGTGGCAAAGTAGTAGTTTTGTACACACTGACACATTTTGACGTTCCTTAGTTCCCATCCTCAGCTTCGTGGTGTGACTGACTTTGCCCCTCGGCCACTTCTTTGTGATCCTCGGCTGAAAGCGCAACACGAATTTATGCGTTGAGAAGGACTTTTCATCCAAGCCTGCATTCATATGGAGTTGTAAACTAACCCTCCACAGATGCTTCTGCGGACTCCTCTCCTTTCTTATGACATGAGGTGCCCTCAGCACCTTCTTTTGTGTCTTCACCTGTTTCTCCTTTCTCCTCCTTGCCATTAGCCATTGGCTCAGATTTTCCTTCCTTTCAATACCAAAGCGAATAAATTTTATGATTATAACATTTACGACATCCGGTAGCATTAAATGTGTCACATTAGACTCACCTTCTTTTCACATTTGGAGGAGTGTTTCTGCAAACAAGTGTGGTTGCTTATTTTTTGGACCGATTAGAATGCATTCATACAAGTCAAAACATCCTGTTACTTACTCCATGAAAGTTTGCCATTTTCTTCATCCAACTCCGCACGATGTGCTTCTTCTACAGGAGGAAATTAAACTGTCAATTCCCTTATTATTAGGGCTAGGTGAGAGTAGGTTAGGTAGGTCTAAGTGCATTGAAAAATGTCAAATAGATTTGTTACTCTTTTTTCCACACCTTGGGTTTTTCGCCCTTTACTTCTTCATCAGCCTAAAAATAGGAGAAAGTGTATTCAATTTTCCTCATCAAAATTGCCTTCAACCTTTGCCTCTGCACCATCAACTAACCAGTTTATTTTGAGGCTGTTCCTCACAGGTGGATGTTCCAGGGGCACTATCGATCTCCGTCACAGCCTTTTTATAATGACACAAAAAAAAAATATATATATAATCATGTTGAGGCTTTGGAATTCTACCCTATGATATGCTATGTCGGAGACGGGCTCTAGTAGCAAGTATCGTATGCATCAAATTAACAATATCAGAGGTGTCACAGTTAGGCAATTGAGAACTTACTTCAGGTGCCTTGGCTTCGACCTCAGCCATTGTGCACAGCTACGTCAATAAATCCACTCCACCACCGAATTCGGCTCATGGGCGATCCTTCAGCCCTTTTATCCAAGCGGGGCGCGTGACGGCAATTGGCTCAGTCCAGACTGTTTGAGTAGCCAATCGCCTTGTAGTCAGTCCTGTTTATGCCACAGAGAGAGCTGAGAGTGGATGGCGGTCTTGTAGGCAGGGCACGGGGTGGGATGTGGCCTGCATCACACACACACACCGTCATGCATACCATCCATGCCCTGATTGTCATGCTGCGTGATACGCCAGTCGCTATTGAAATGGGGTGGTATGGGAAACTTCTTTTGAATGGAACTTGACATTCATTATCCAATCACTATCACCCGGCTTATCTCCTCAAGTCGGGTGGCAGGAAGGGCGAAGGCTCAATTCACACTCCACCAAACCCCACAAAGGCTGCGGCTTAAAAATGTCTTAAACAACATTCATCCACCCAAATCTCACCTCCCAATTGTTAGCCTCCTCCACTCAGACAACACAAGCTTAAGTGCTTTAAATGCCTCAAGAGAAATAATAATAAGTTATAGTTCTTATTAAAAAGAATAGTCCCTTGACAACTCTGCAAAGTTCAACAAAAATGCCTTCATTCCCTTGTGTTAGAAAGCTTATTTGCGAAGGTACCAGTCTCTCCAAAAATGCTTCTTTATAAGTAAATATAAACGCCCACAAGGGCAGCTCCTCCACCCTTCACTTGCTGACGGGTCTTTGTCAAAGTTGTTGCCAATTCGAGGCCATAAAATGTGGAGCCTACCCTTATGAATTGTCAAGAATTCAAATTTTAAGGGAAAATAAAACAAGATGAGTGTAAAAAGGTGTATTTCAGACTTGTCTGAAACAAGGGCTTTAACACCAACTGAAGGAAATCATTTGTCAGGCTCAAAAAAGTTCGTAAAAAAATGGCGTCGTGTCTTTTGGTTCTTTTAACAAGTTTAGCTTAATGATTCGTCATACTTTTTTCCTTAAAACCATAATTACATCCTCTTTTCACGATTTCCTCCAAACACCTCCACCAAACACGATGCATGCAAAAGCAATC